GCTCCCTCGTTCCCTTTCCAGTTTATTGATAAACTGGATTCTGCCTACTAATGTCTTAAATGTTCCATAAAATTTTGACATCAGTTTGATTCAGAGTTCAGCATTGTTATATAACAGATGCCAAACATCCAAACAGATGGTAATATCAAACTGACTGTGGCAAGGTGGGCTCCTCCCAGGCCAGCCGTCGTCGGCCTTCCACCTGCCTCCAGGCACGCCGACCACCTTTCTTGCCCTCCACAACTTGTTGGAAGATCAATAAGTTGTTAAATAAGGCGGAAGGCTGCCCATTTTTCTTTGCACCCTGATATATGGGGGTATCCGCGGCTCCGTACCACTCCTACACCACGGCCCAAGTCTCGCAGATGGCATCCAGATGTTAACAGTTACACCAGCCCCACACTAGGCTCCAGAATCCTCCTGGTAGGACCCTCCCTTTGGTCCCTCCGCTCAGGCGGCCTATGCCGCCTTCATTTGGGCTGCTGAGCTCCTTGTAGCTGGCTCCCCTCTTGGGTGTGGTCTCCACTCGGGACCTTTGGCCATACACAGGCCCTGGCCTCACCTCCAAGGCCAGGCGGGGTCCCAGATCCACAACTCTGGGTGCCCCTCGCGGTGGACACCTGGCCCTTTTGACCATCTTGTTTCTGGCCCCAGCATAGACCAGTTGAGGGGGCACTCTACTTCCAACCTCAATAGCCCCACATTCTCTCTGGGTCCACCTTCCTACATGTAGGGAGCTGGGGTACCTGACACCACGATTGGTGCCCCAGGGTCTTACAGGGGACTCTCACTCCCACCTTGGGGCAGCAGGTTGTGGTGCTACCTCAGATGTTACATTCGACTCTCACACAACCTCCCAGCAGTGGAGGACTTACCGGGGTCAGGACTCGCCTCTCTTGCTCTGGGGCTGAGCCCCCATCGACTCGACCTCTGGCCCAAACCTCGGCCTCAGGTGTCCAAAGACTTCCTGGGCCTATTCCCCTTGCTTGGAGCTCCACATTGCCCCCCTCACTTGGGGCTCCAAATCTCTGCCCCACTCTGGGGCTGATCCCCCTTCACTCAGCCTCCGGCCCAAACTTCGGCCTCAGGCATCCGAAGACTTACCTGGGCCCACTACCCTTGCTTGGGGATCCACATCACCCCCACCACTTGGGGCTCTAGATCTCCACCCCTTACTTGGGGCTACCCCCTCACTGGGGCTCCACAACTCCGCCCCCTCGCTTGGGGCTACAGATCTCGGCCCCCTTCACTGGGGCTACTCCCCCTCACTGGGGTCCTAATTTCCGCCCCCTCTCACTTGGGGCTCCAGACTGCCCCCTCACAGAGGGGCCACGGGGTTTGCTGCCCGGTAGGCTCAGGTGGCCACAGCTGTGCCTGGTCCCAACTTTCCCCCTCAGGGTATTGCACCTTGCAGGGCTCAGGTGGCCACAGCTGTGCCTGGCCCCAACTTTCCCCCTCGGGGTATCGCACACAGCCCCACTCTTCTCCTCGGGGCCTGCACCCCCACGGGGCTCAGGCAGCCACAGCCATGCCTGGCCCCAACTACCTCTGATGGTATGTAAACCCACCCGAAGGTGAGGGGTAGGGTTAAGGCACCCCTACCTGCCTTTCACCAGGGTGATAACTGGCCTGGTATTTCCGGGGGGCTCCCACACCACTGAGCGCCCCACCAGGCCACCTACTCCCAGCAGGGTGCAGTTTTAGGTCATGCCCAGGACCAGGAGCCTCCTGATCGTCCCCTACAGCTCCTCCCTTACCTCCAGATGATACTTACAGCCCTGCAGCTAGGCCATGTTGTTGCCTGGCCTTCAGCAGCAAAAATGCCCTGTTTATATGGACAGCCCTGAATCCAAAATGGCTGCCCTCATCAGGCACCTGCCGGCTGCTAGCTTCTCACCCTTAAAGTGGCAGGCACCTACAGTGCCCTGCCACACTGACTTTGTATTAACACCTCATATCACTCAACCAATTTTACTATTTTGCACAGTAGAGTGGCCTGAATTTATGTTTTATTTCTTCCAGATTCTCAACTTCCAAAAATTGGAGCAAACTTTCACAAGATCAAATTTTTTAGCATACCTGCAGTACACATCCATGAGAAGTGCATGTTGGGTTTGTTCCATTCAGGTTCGTAGTAGAAGGGGACAAAGTCTTAACCCTCCCTCCACCCCCAAACATTTTTTAGTATTAATTTAACTTGTTAGAGTGCATGCTCATCAGCCGTCTCCATACTGGCACTGGAATTATTCATTCTTCCTCACTGAGAAATTGTGAGAGCCCAGACACATTTTCTCCCAATGGTTCTTTTTCTGCAGTTCCTGTGTTCATGGCAGACACCTGCTTTTAGTTTTTCTCCTAATCAAAGCTAGTATTTTAATTCTCTTTCTGATAATGTATAGGGTCCATATTCCCTAACAAACTTGAACGTGGTACTCAACTATTTTTAGACCTACAAAATTCACTTGGTTTAATCTCTAAGCACCTCAAACATTAAAATTTACTGGTAAAAGTACAAGAAAAGATCCAGCCATCAGTTTAAGCAATGTAAAATAGTCAAGCCCAGGACACCTTTTTTTAAAAAGAAGAGTACACATTTTTCAAAAAAGTATTTCATACTTTTGTTAAGCAGGGTTATAGTCAGCCTTCAAAAACAAGGAAATAGCTATAACAGTAGGTAATCTTGTAAAAGTTGGTCAATATTTCTAAAAGGAATCTTTTGAACACCGACATCAGAAAAAAAAAAATCACTGACACATCAGAACAATAAAACAAACAAACAAAAAGCCCCTAACTGGTTGTAATCAAAGTTCATTTGGTATTTTAGGTATGTAATCATATACCTTATCTGGTGACATCAGCACGGCAGGCTCACTTTTTATTCCAGACTGATGAATATTAACAAACATTCCTGACTCTAGTAGGCCTGTTGACCTGAAAAAAGAAAGGCATATATTTTACTCTTATGATGTCAAATCTTACTTCATTTAACAACCCCTCTACATGTGCAGAGGCATGATGGGATCTAATACACAATCCACACAACAGTGCCTCCTGCCAAACCACACATGCATGGCAGGAGGCATGACTAGGACTGTGAATTAGATCCCATCTCACTTTATTGCTAATGCAGGAGAAGTGCAATCCCAGGCTCTCCCTGTGCTGGGAAGAAGCTATCTCCTGCATCTGGGAGCCCCCTCAGCTGACAGGGCTCCCAGCTGTGGGGGTACCCCATGCATCCTTGTGACCGGGATACCACAGTTGCTATGATCTCTCAGTTGTGCAGGTGTGTGGTACGCCCTTACAGCTGGGAGATCACAGCAGCCATAGTCTCCCAGTCACAGGGGTATACGGGAGCCCCCCTGAGGCTAGCAGCTCTCAGGGTTGCAGATGGGCCCCCCAGCTAGTATTTCAATCAGCTGACAGGGCTCCCAGCCACAGGGAAGTCAAGTAATGGCATAATAGGAAGCAACTACAAAGTTATTACACGTATTTTGTGGAATAACTTTGTAGCTTATTCCTCTTTTTATCACACCATTAACTGCTTGAACATGTGGCTGGGTGACCACTTAAGGCATGACTAACTGGTTAATCACACCTTAAATTTGATGTGCAGAGCAGGCCTAAAACATGAAGCAAGCTTTCCACTAAACTTAGGACTAGTAAGGCCTCAGTTGTAATACTATGTCCAGTTTTAACATCATACTTCATGAAAGATGCCAAGCAACAGACATAGTCCTGGGAAGAACAACACAAATAAGCAGAAGTCTAGAAAACATGGCCTACAAGTAAATACTGAAAGAACTAGTTTTGTTAAGTTCAGAGAAAAGACTACTGAAGGGGGACACAGTTATAGTCCTCAAATATGTAAAAAGATACTGCAAATATGAAGGTAACAAACTGTTCTCCAGATCCACGGATGATAGAACGAGGAGTAATGGGCCTAAACTGCAACAACAGATTTACACTGGATATTAGAAAAAACTTTCTAGCTGTAGGGATTCTTAAATACTGGAAGAGATTAGCTAGGGAGGATGTAGTCTCCACCACCGGGTATTTTTGAGCTCAAGCTAGAATATCGATTAGGAATGCTTCAGAGGTTGTTGATCTCTTTGGAGCAAGTGGCTGGGCTAGATGACCACTTAAGGACCCTTTTAACTCTAGGCCCTATGAATAACCCTATAATGTCATACATGTTAAATGTACCTTGCTGTTTCATGGTCTGTTACAAAAGTTGGAGTTGCAGCTAATGGACTGCGCAGATCTTTCCGGATGTAGATCTTTTCTGTAGAAGCTGCACAATTTGAAGATTTTTCTCGTGATACTTCAATAGGCTTCCTCTCACACTGAACAGCTAACAAAATAGTGCATAACTGTTAGGTGACAACTCAAAATTTAATAGACATAACACCACAAACACCAACCTAAGAAGTAATGCACTGTGTTTCCAATTACAGCAGAGAACCCAGCAGTTTAAAATACATCTTTGGAGATCTTATACAGAAGTTACAGCAATTAAGATTTTAGGTAAACACATACATTTTGTTATGGCTAGTAGAATGGCAAAGCTGTTAAACTCCCTATGCCAAACAACTTAAAGGGGCAATAATTTTTATACTTAAGATTAAATAAAAAAATAGAGGTGCCCCAATAGAGATTTTTTTGGCTGATACCGATGGCTGATTATTAACCAGACATCTCGGCTGATACTGATCCAATTGCCGATACGCAGCCTGGCAGCTTGGAGACCAGCATCTGGTCAGTAAGTCTGTGGCGGGGAGGGCATGGAGGGGGATGGGCATTGTGGGGGTGGGCAGATTGAGGCCCCCCCCATGGTGAGGGAGGGAGTAGGACAGGAGGCAGACACAGGCATTGCCCAGCCAGGGCAGGGCGCAGGACGGAGCTGCAGGATGCTTATCTGGGGAACACGGGGGATGGAGAGGGAGTGGCAGCTCCTGGCCGCTGCATGCACTCTGGCGGAAGCATGGGGGGCATGTGCCCCTCAGATTTGAGCACAGGGAGAGGATGGGCTGCCCATTGTGGGCTCGGGGCCAGCAGCAGCACCACTGGGAGGGGTGACTATGGGGTGGGCTACAGCCAACCCAAAATTCACTGTAGCCCCCCTCCCAGTGCTGCTGCCACCCACCCCGAGTGCAGCTCTGGCCCAGCCCCCCCTGCCCGGAAGAGGCCAGCAAAGTCCCCAGTCCTGAACCATGGTGAGCAGCGAGCCCTCACCCTGCGCACAAATCCAGGGGGCACATGTCCCCCATGCCTCCCCCGGGAATGCATGCAATGGCCAGGAACTGCCCCCTACCCCCACCCCTTGTGCCTCCCGGACAAGCCACCTATGGCTCCATCCTGTGTCCTGTCCTGGCAGCGCCTGCCCCAGTCCCATTCCCTTACTCACTGTGGGGGCCTCTATCTACTCCCCCATGCCCCTTCCCCCCACAGACTTACTGGCCAGATACTGCTCTCCACCTGCTGGGCTGCATTCCTGGTCACATGCATGTGTGCATCTGCACACATGCACATGGCACTTATCAGTGATATTACTGGCTACACCGGTGAAAAAAGCCAATTGCCACTAACGTCAATTTTCCTTTTATCAATGCCAGTCCAATATAGACCTCTAAAAAAGGTGTTTTCTCCTGTCTGGATCCCTTGCTGGAAGCTGTTCCTTTCATTTGCAAAAGGGTTACCACCATCTCCTTTTTTGTGCTTCCTTTGGAAATTTGGTCTACCTGGGGAACCTCTGGCTCCAAAGCTCAACATAGCAAATCTGATTCTATGGGCTCCCAGGGAAAATTTCTCTTAAGAAAAAATAGCTAGAAACAAACTATTAATATAAGTATAGGTTTTTGTCATTGTAAAACAAAAATGCTGACTAAAAGTGTGGAACTTTTAAAAGTATTTGGAACTTATTTTTTCCTCTGTTAGAGCAGTTTTAAAATAATCTAACTCCACTTTCATTAATAGAACCACCACAGAAAAGTGCCATGAATCAGGCTTGTAAACTATAGTCTCAACAAATACATAATTTTAAATAGGCCTCAATCTACTTTGCTTATTTAAAGACATTAAAAGTTAGGAACCACTGGATAATACTCTATGAACAATCTGTCTTTATGGCTCCAGTTGTGGAAATGTTTTAAGGCTCAGCCTGTACAGCCATGTCACCTAGCCTTGGGCTTCTCATTGGGTCTGGAAGTAGACAGTCAGCATGGATTCACCATGCCTGATCAACCTGATTGCCTTCTATGATGAGATGACTGGTTCTGTGGATGATGGGAGACCAGTGGATGTGGTGTACCTTTACTTTAGCAAGTCTTTTGATACAATCTCCCACAACATTCTCGCAGGGAAGCTAAGGAAGTATGGACTGGATAAACAGACTGGCTGGATAGAAAACTGGCTGGAGCATTGGGATCAGAGGGTAGTAATCAATGGCTCAATGTCTAGTTGGCAGTATCAAGCGGAGTGTCCCAGGGGTTGGTCCTGGGCTGCTTTTGTTCAATGTTGTTATCAATGACCTGGAAGATGGACTGCCTGGGCAGCAGCTCTGCAGAAAAGGATCTGGGGGTTACAGTGGACAAGAAGCTGAATGAGCCAACAGTGTGCCCTTGTTGCTAAGAAGGCTAATGGTAGACTGAGCTGCATTGGTAGGAGTGTTGCCAGTAGGTCAAGGGAAGTGATTATTCCCCTCTATTCAGCACTGGTGAGGCAACATCTGGAGTACTGTATTCAGTTTTGCGTCCCTCACTACAGAAAGGATGTGGACAAATTGGAAGGAGTCCAGTGGAGGGCAACAAAATGGTTAGGAGGCTGGGGCACATGACATATGAGGAGAGGCAGAGAGAACTGGGCTTATTTAGTTTGGAGAAGAGAAGATTGAGTGGGGATTTAATAGCAGCCTTCAATTACCTGAAGGGAGGTTTGAAAGAGGATGGAGCTGGACTGTTCTCAGTGATGGCAGATGATAGAACAAGGAACAATGGTCTCAAGTTGCAGCAAGGGAAGTTTAGGTTAGATATTAGGAAAAAGTTCCTCACTGGGATGGTAATAAAACACTGGAACAGGTTACCTAGACAGGTGGTGGAATCTTCATCCTTGCAGGTTTTTAAGACCCAGCTAGACAAAGCTTTGGCTGGAATGATCTAGTTAGGGATGATCCTGCTTTGAGCAGGGTGTTCGACTAGATGAACTCCTGAGGTCCCTTCCAACCCTAATTTTCTATGATTCTATGACTGGCAGAGAGGCCCAGGGAGGAAGAAAGGAGGGGCAGTCAGCATATTGTGTGCTGCCCGCTTTGTGCTACCCCACCAGCCAGTGCCTTCCTCTCCAGGGCAGGTTGTGAGGCCCGCCAGGGAAGGGAAGACTTAATAAAAACTTATTAAGGTTTTTTTTCACAGATTTCATGGGCAACCCTGGATTTTGTGGGCAACCCCAGATTTCACGGTTTCCACAAAATTTGTGAAACCACAATTTAGGTAGGTCTCTAACAGTATGTAATCCTAGGTACACCCCAATTTGATTTTAATATAACTAAGTATATGTTTTGTAGCTCAAACCTTCCTAACTTGTTAAATGTAACAAAATAAATCCATATACTTTTACAATTCATACTTACAATCCTGTTTCATTCCAAAAGCAATACATCGTTGCAGCCTACAGTACTGACATCTGTTCCTGTGATGTTTGTTAATAACACAGTCTTTTGTTCCTCGGCAGGAATAAACTAAATTCTTTCGTATACTTCTTTTAAAGAATCCTTTGCATCCCTCACATGTTACTGCTCCATAATGACGTCCTAGTCACAGAACAATATAAGACAAGACATTGCTATCATTCTCTCTCTTTATACTTGATATTTACTTAAATACATTTTCAGTTTTACAGACTTAAGTCTGAAAATATTGGTGATTTACACAGATCAGTCCTTGCAAAAGGAAAAGTATAGGCAACTCTCAGACATAAGTCACAAAAGCGGATTACTTCAAGATTTCAAGGAAAATACATTTTAATTTTCTACATATTTTTCTTTCTTTACAAATTTCTGCTTCAATATCTAAAATTCGCAGAGTTCACCATTTGTTCAAAATGCTGTTAACCATTTCAAATGGCACAAGAATGTCATTTCACATAACACTTAAAAAAGAGAAAAGAAAGAGCTTTTTTTTGCAGTTTGAAATTAATGACTTAAAACACTTGTTTGGTTTGATTTATTTTCCAAAACACTTATTTTTCAACCTGAGTGCATCAAAAGCGGCTCTACGTAGAGTACCTCCATTCAGACTCTCTGATAATAGAACTTGCTTCAAAAAAAACTGACTTTCCAGTTTGCAGGGTATTGATAAAAACTTGTTTCAAACACTTGGCAAACCAGCAGCTATTTGGATCATGCAGCTGCTTTCCAAAAAATTGGTGCTCTTGTAAATTTCAATATAAATGTCAGACAAGAATGCCAGTTTCACTGAGCAGTCCAAGATGGTCCCAAGGTTCCCTGGATGTGGGGTCAACCAGCTGGGAATCCAGGCAAGGTTCCTATGGAAACCTTCCTTGCATTTAGCAAAAGTCTGTGAAACTTAAGTGTTTTGAATGAAAGCTTTAGGCTCAAAAAACCACCTTTTTTGTTTTATTAAATTGTTTTATCAGCCCTAGTCCCAAGTATTTTACTCCAACTCTTCCTTCTTCCTCTCCTTTCCAGGAGAAACACTTTAGCAGCCTGTCACAGGGAGAAACAAACGGGGGTGGGGTGGGGAAGGGAGACCCTAAAAACTAAGGGGGAAACCCGGGGACCAGAAAACGGGGGAAGAACAGAAAAAGCAAAAGTGAAAAAAGAGCACTTACCTGCAGCAAGACTGATGGCAAAGCAAGAACACCGGAAGGAACCCGCACGAGCCATCAGCCGCACTTTCATACAGCTGCGGCCGGCCAGTGACATCAGTGGCAATTACCAGGCGGCAGGGATAAAAAGGACGGCCCACAAAGAAGCGGGGGATCAGACACCAGGAGAAATCTCAGCCAGACGTGTTTACCGGCAGCTCGGAGCGGAGCAGGAGACGCTGATCCCCTACAGAAGAGGATCCGACGCCTCACGCAGCAAGGGTGGAGCCACCGACAGCGGTGAAGGTAAACCCGCACTTGGGGCAGGAGCTCCGGTGTGAAGAAAGGAGGGGGAGGAAGACGGAGGCTGGAGAGACCCCGAGCCCGGCAGCCTCCGCAGGACTAGTGGGACCCGAGGGTACACCCCAGGGAGAGAGGTGTTGCCCAGAAGACCAAGAGAGTGGGCAACATTACCCAGAAGACCCAGAGAGAGGGCAACATTATCCAGGAAGCCCAGAGAGAAGGCAACGTTACCCAGGAGGCCCAGAGAGAGGGCAATATTTACCCCAGAAGGCCCAGAGAGAGGGCAGCGTAATCAAGAAGGCCCAGAGAGAGGGCGGCAATATTGACAAGTCCGGAGAAGGAACTTTACTCCTAAAGAGCCCAGGGGGCAGAGACAGGAGAGATCTGGGATAACCCGGAGGGCTTAGGTCCAAGGGGAAAACTGTAGATAGCCTCAAGGGGATAAAGGGGTGTTGGGAGGATAGGTGTGGGCCCTAGGGGCCGAGTCTGAGTGCTGAGAGATACCTCAGGAGAAGGAGGGGCACACGGTGCTGGTGAAGGTTTTTCTTTTTTTTTCTTGTAAAGTAGTTTTCTGTTTCCCCACGTCCGGAGGGGTTGGGTAGAGAGGTGAACCTGAGAGAACCCAGGATTGGGGTGGGGGGGGCGTATCAACTGAGAACACCAGAGGCCTGAAAGCCCGGGAAACGACATACATCCATTGTGCGAGGGAGCGGCTGCAGGACCAACAGTGGCCTGCCACACTGGGTACAGGGTGAGGTAGAGGGGAGGTGAAGCCTCGCAGAAGACCACCAGAGAAGTAAGTGGCCCCAAGGGAGTTGTAGCAATACCGAAGCTCCTCTCCACCCACTGTAGCAAGATTCAAAGTCATGGCAGGCGAGATAGGGAAGGATTGCGTTGTGAGTAAACACCTCCTTGAAGGGCCACCTGCGACGCCAAGGCAGACATCGGGGTACACTCGTAGCAAAGAAGCTCGGGACAGGATGTTTGAGGCCCGGTGGTCACACAGCCCCTTAATACTTGTCACCTTTATGTTCACATTTTATCCATTCTCTTTCAGCCTCCCTCAGATATGGAAACTTTAACAGAAAGTACCAATGAAGGTACAGCTAAGGGATGATTTACAAACTAAGGTCCATCATAGAGACTTCATAAAGACTGTTGGATGGGACAAATTACTTCCCTATCTGAGCTAAATCTAGCCATTTTTTATTTATAAACCCTCAGCTAAGTTGTGCCCCCCCCGGTCCATTCGTGCAGTGCGAGCACAGACAGGATGAAAGTTTAAGCCAAACAACGCTGGAGAAGCAGAGATTGCAGCTCCGTGTAAGTGGCAGATTCTATTTTCCTGTTCTAACTGGGTTCAAATTCTGGCAGACTATGGTTATGACAGAGCTGGCAAAAAGTCAGGATGGACACCAGAGCTCTCCATGGACTCCTCAGCCACCACTGCATTCTTGACATTGGCTTCCTTTTTTCACACTGCTTGTCCATATTTTTAGCTCTCTGATAACACTGAGCAGAGCACTTCTTGTTTTTCCCTGTTTATCTTAACAGTTCATGCACACATTTTATTCTCCTGATTGTTAATTCAATTATAAAGTGTTCTCATTGCTTCAAGAAACATGAATCGAACTACCTAGATCAAATAACTTGTAAGAACACTTTATAAAAGTCTTTCTTTCCTGCCTGTTACACATTATGAGTAACCAACAACATTTTTTCACTGATACTTTTTCCTTTAAATTTTAAAGTCTTTCAGATAACAGTAACAATGAAACAGTTAATTTTACAACTTTTTTTTTTTAATATAGGTGTCTGAATGACTTGTCCACTTATTAATTTGATTGTGGCCCATTATGTCACATGAACATGAAAAGGCTTTCATACAAATACGTGGGAAAATAATTTTAAATCAAAAGTTTGAACAAATGCTAATTTATTAAAGCTACAGTTAAAAACTCGCATGTCTGGACAGCTTTAGCTATGCTTGGTATGTTTTTATATGAAAGAACAATTCAATCAAATTATATATTAAAGCAATCTAATGGAGAAAAGAATATACCTATGTATATAATCATGCAGTCTCTAAAGAATAACCTTAAACTGCTTTCAAAAAGTGTCAATGTAGAAAAAGTTACCTGATGCCTTGTCTCCACATACAACGCAGAGATCAAATACTTTATTTAGGGTCTGTTCTGCAGAAGAGTGGTCTGTTAAAATCTGGAAAAAATATTACATTATTTTTCTCTTTCTTATTTAAAGAAAAAATAAAAAGCAAATCTCATCCTTAAGAAGCCCCTTTCTAAAATGCAGATGTACAACATGCCAAGTCCCCTCAATTACCATTTATGACTTTGACAGATGCCTGTGTATAGACATATTAGTATGCTAAGGAAAAACAACAGTCAGGGTGGGGTGAAAATTTTCAAGGGCCAAACTAAAACCTATCCAGATACATTTTTTGCAGAAGGTATTTGTATTTTGAAAAATGTTTGTCATCTGAGCACATTGCTTTCTGTGATATATTGCATGCAAGGAAAATTAAGAATATTCCAATGACTAAATGTAATAATAAGGCATCTATACACATGCTCCGAGGTACGAGGAGCGGCACTTTAAGTAAAGGAGCTCTGAGAGCCACTCTAAAGTGCCTGCAGTGTATTCAGTGTCCCGGGCTTCAAAATGGTGGCTTTAGTTCAAGCGCCCCCACTACCATTTTGAAGCATGGGAATGCTGAACGGATGTGACATGGAGGCTGCTGGAGTGTGTTAATTAACATGCTCCAGGAGACTCTATTTGAGTATGCTCTGATGCATGTTAATTAGCACACGTTAGAGCAGACGTCATATGCATAGGTGCCCATAGGGATTAAACTATTCACAGCAATAGTACTACTAGATCATTAGCTCTACAATTTCAAATACTGCAAATATTATAACTAATGAAGCACACTGCATAATAAAAAGGACCATGTAACCACATAATTAGCAAACATCATCTTGATGGTAAGAACTACGCAAAACAGAAATGAATAAAAATGGAAATCCCAGCAGAAAGAGCTAAACACTGGCACATTTCAAAAGCATGTCTCATTTCCAATGCTTTCTTATAGGACTGTTGAGTCTTTCATTCCTGCGTTGCCTAAATCAAAACAAGACCCTTTAGTGGGAATTTTGATTAAAATAGGAACTTGGACTGAAGCATTAACTTTAGTCAGTGAAAAGGGATAAGAGAGTTACAGGTATTTCTAAAACAGTTTTAAAATTCAATTCTTGGTAATGCTCATATAGATACAAAACATACACACATTCATTTCCAGTAGAGTTAAACAACCACTTACTATTTCAGGTACTACATCTGATCGCTAATGTTTTCTGGGTTTTTTTTTTAAATAAATCATTTAAATAAAAACTTAGCTTAATGATAAAGCATAGAAAATGACCCTTTAATTTCACCACATTTCCTATAATTCAGTACTATATATGATCATGACACTACATAGATCATGCAAGAAATTTTTTGAGTCCTTCCATAGGCCAAACATAAACTGAAATCAGGAGTTTTATTTAAGCAAGATCAACAGGATTTGGCCCATGAGGAAGTCAAGTCCATACCTCCAAGAGTTCACAACCTATCTTGGATAAATGACAGACCAAACTAGAGTTG